AGGTCCCCCTGAATGGACAGCAATATGGTGGGTATACCCTGATGCTGTCATCCAGGCACCAGGGAGTGAGCACAAGTGGGTGGGGGATAGAGCAACATGTGGACCTGGATCTTTCCAGGAGTGTTACAGCAGACTTCATCCCGTCAGCAGTGCTACACCATGCAGTCTAATCCCGCCACGGCAGTTGCTATGAATCTGCCAGCCAGCTCCAAGTTAGGTTAGTTGGGTTTTTTTTTTCCTATAGCTCTCCTTCCTACTAAACCCATACTGTGGGGAGGCACAGTGTGAGGTACCCTTGGATGTTTGTTGCTATGGGTGTTTGTGTGCCTTGTACAAATGCAGGGTAAATGTGCTTTTGTGTTCCTTTCCATCATTTATGTGGCAAGTTGGAGGCAAAGGCTGCAGCCCTAGCACTTCTCAAGCTGCAGAGTAGCCGAGAGGTGAGCAGAACCTGAAACCCGTTAACTCCTTCCTACATTTATGTTACACTTATACTGAAGTTGTACCTGGTTTGGGTTACCAGCATCTATTCTACACCTTAGTTGGTGTGTTTGGCCTTAGACTTCTATCACCTGGAGCTTCCTCCAACGGTTAGATGTATAGTGGATTGGTATCCAGAGACTAAGTTATGTTTTTCAGCTGTATATATATTTTCTAATTGTTGGGTATTTCTTAGTTGTATATAGCATGCCTCTGACCTCATGTTTCTGCAATATGCCTCTGCGGGTTGATTAAATACACAACATTGTAGCCTATGCTTCTATTATTTTGTCTGTATACTTATGGTACTATTGGATCATGAACATACACGTGGAATAGATAAATTAGGATCGGGTCTCTAGTTGCTGGTGTTCAACTAAATTTTCTTTTTGCTGCTGCAGATCATGCCTCACATGAAATTCACTACCTGTTACTCGATATACTGTATGTGATACTTCCAGTGATCTGCTTTGTGTAGAGGCCTCATTTGCATAGCATGCTTCATGAACTGGGAGTTTCTTTTTCTTATTTGAAATTACCATAACATCGTCCTTAACCACTTGCCTACCAGGCAGTTATACCCCCTTCCTTACCAGGCCAATTTTCAGCTTTCAGCGCTGCCGCATTTTGATTGACAATTGCGCGGTCATGCAACATTGTACCCAAATGAAATTTTGATCATTTTTTTCTCACAAATAGAGCTTTCTTTTGGTGGTATTTAATCGCCACTGGGCGCTTTACTTTTTGCGCTATAAATTAAAAAAAGTGCAAAAAATTTGAAAAAAAAAAAAAAAAAGTTTATTTGTTTCTTTTATAAAATTTTTCAAACAGGTATTTTTTCTCCTTCACTGATTTGCGTTGATGAGGCGGCACTGATGGGCACTGATAGGCGGCACTGATGGGCACTGATAGGCAGCACTAAAGGGCACTGATAGGCAGTACTAATGAGGTGGCACGGATAGGCGGCACTGATAGACAGCACTAATTAGGGGTCACGGATAGGCGGCACTGATATGCAGCACTGATAGGCGGCACTGATAGGTGACACTGATGATGGGTACTGATAGACGGCACTGACTGGCATCACTTCTGGGCACTGACTGGCGGCACTGACTGGCACAACCCCTGTGCACTGACTGGTGGCACTGACTGGCAGCACTGGTGGGCGGCACTGGTGGGCGGGCACAGGTGGGTGGCACTGGTGGGCACAGGTGGGTGGGCACAGGTGGGTGGCACTGCTGGGCACATGTAGGTGGCACTTCTGGGCACAGGCAGAGTGGCACAGGTGGGGGCACTGCTGGGCACAGGTGGGGGCACTGCTGGGCACAGGTGCTGGGCGGGGCTAGTGGGCGCACTGCTGGGCACAACTTGCGGGTGTCACTGCTGGGGCACCGATCATCAGGGCACTGATCATCAGTGCCCTGATGATCGGTGCCGATCCCCGCTCTGACAACTGCCGGTTCTCGGCAGTACTTTCCTCACGATCTGACAGCGTGAGGAAAGTGCAGCCGAGAACCGGCACTTGCATTTCCCTGTGATCAGCGTGTCATTGGACACCGCTGATCACGTGGTAAAAGGCCGGTGGGATCGGCCTTTCACCACATCACGTGATCAGCTGTGTCCCTGGGGCGCGCAGGAGAGCGCGTTCGGGGAGGACGTCATATGACGTCCACTCAGAACTGGCCGGCCGCGGTGAAGCCGTCATTCGGCTATGCGCGGTCGGCAAGAGGTTAACATTGACATATCCATTCTGAAATATTTTGTCTTTATGCAATAATGTGCATAGACAACATGTGAATGTATGGTTTAGGGATAAGACCTGTGGCTTCTGAGACAGTGTATCAATAAACCAGGCCTTATATATGAAATTCACAACCTATTACTTCATTTATGTGATATTTGTTATTATATTAGTCGTCTTTGAGAGATTGTCCTTGTTGCACAAGATTCTTTACGATTTGTTGTTTATTTCTTGTATAAATACACCCCAACACTGGCCTTACGTATTTTACAGGTTACTTTACTATTATGTATTATTTTACATGCATGACATTGCAGCCAGTGCATCACTTTGATTTATATTCAGGTTGTATTTGTCCTTGCATGAAGGGCCCAGGGTTTCTTGCTGCTGAGGATTAAATCCCTTACACTTGAACTTACCAAATGCACTGTATGTGCCTGAAATGGATAAAGAGTAGAGGACATAGTTCCAGTTATCTACCGAGAAATTAAGAAACAAATCAACTTTTTTAAGCATATAAACTCATGAAGTAACTTGGGTGGTTTCCTCATCATATGTTGTATTTATGGCATTCTTTCTACAATGGAGGTCTTAACGTTATAACTGAATATGTGAGACCATATTGACTACAACACTTGGCTCTTTTCATATGGTCACTATAAACTACTACTAGTAAGTTAAACTTTTTGCATGGCTGGTTGGGTAACAGACCAGTTTGCTGCAGACGCAGACAGCTCTTTTATGTGATATGTACCTTGCAGTATATGTTATGGGCAGGATTGTGGCCTATTGATGTGGTATCTTTACTCCTTATCACTCTGAGCGTAGACCTGACTGCGTATATGTCAGCACTATATATTAAAAAATATCACTACATCTTTTATATGGCTGTCCTAACAGAGCAGGTATGAGAGACTATTTGAATGTTAATGTTACAGGCTCAATTTCCTGAAGTAGTGATCTGCCTAATATAATGAACATCAGTATCACAATATGCCCCATGGTGCTGGAGCATATTCAGACTTCAAACATCAGGCAGGGTACCTGTCATTCGTTAAAAAGTTATGTTCATTATTTACCCCACGCCTCTCTGCTGTATACTGCTTCTAATTTCATGTGTTTGGATTTAAAGAATGCTTACATAGCTGCCATACCAGAATTCAAATGGGAGGTGAGCTATAGGTATGGGTATATGCAGTTTTGGAATGTATAGCATGGGAGGCAGAAATATACAAGGACCTATTATCTAGGTGTCCATAGGTAATATCCTTATGAAGATTATTATATAGGGTGTGAGTTCTCATTTTATCTGCTTGGGGACAGAGATATATTGTATGCATTTGCAAATAATATACTATCTGATTCTCACTACATATCACTCAGATTTGGTTTAGTAGTATTTATTACACTGGTCAACACACTTTTTCTGGCATAAGGTATTCCAACGGTTTTAAGGTAATTTTGGGGTGCTGATTCCAAATCTGGCATCAGTTTTTGTCTATCACATCAGGTTTTTGTGATATCAAATATGGCATTGTCAGTAAAAACCATAGGCTTATTCTTGTCACTAGGTATCAAACTGACTCTTGGTGGCCAGTTCTTTTTAACCCAGTGTTTTAATGTAGCCCTACTGTCCCAGTAGCACAGGAAACAAGGGTATTTTTCACCCCAAGCTACCCCACATGGAAGAAAAATATATTTGAAATATATTGTTCCCAAATATATTGACAACATATATTTGAAATGCTACAATTTTGGCCATATTTTTAGAGATATATATATCATGTGGAAATGCGTTTTTATTACAAAATATATGAAAAATATTTTTAAAAATACATTTGAATATACTGTGTCTTTAAAAATACAAATCTACATTTTTGAAATGCATTTACAAATATATGTAAAAAAATATATGTTAAAATGACTTTTTTATATGTTAAAAATATCTGAAGAATATATTTAAAAAATATATAGGCAGGTGGATCACTTTCACATTTTTGGAGCACACAGTAGTTTAATTTTAAAAGTGGAACCTCCCAATGGATTTAGATCATTTAGCAAGTTTGTGGCTTCAGCATAGACAGAGAATTAGTGGTTTGCCTCAACAGCTCTGCAGAGCTGCCATCTGATCCAATTTGCATACAGTGATTTTACACATCTGAATTGCCCTGCTGTCCTTTCAGGGCTAAGACTTGTAGAATAGTTCCTGCAAGCATTAGACCCACCCTTATAACTTATTTCATTTTAAAGAAATGAAAAAAAAAAGCTTGCTATGAGTGTAGCAGCTAAGTGACCAATGACCTCAAACGAGAACCATAAAGTAAAACGGAAAAAAGCCTATATTATTAGGAACAAAGAAAGAAGTCAGTCTAGGAGTTGACTTCCCAAAGAGCTAGCAGTCAGAATTCAAGTATAGTTTAACTAGCCCTAATCTCTCCCTATGCAGTTTGTCAGCTTTCCCTGCAATGGTTTCCATTTCAGACACTATGGCTGTAATGCGATCCCCGCCCCCTCATTTATAGTAAGGGTCTGTTTTAAGCCAAAATTATCCCAACAAATCTCCACATAAACTCTTGTTAGCTGCAAATCTGAAACCCACAGAATTTGCTTCGAATCTATGGTAGCGGGAAACCCAAACCTCATCCCTTAACGCTCATATGTTTGTTTTAAAATGTAATGGACAAAGTCTTATGGAATTATGCATTAAGAGTTGAAAGTAAAAGTGTGCAATCCAGTATGATTCAAGTACAAAACTGAAATTTGCTTTTCTCTCCTGCAGAGACTATGTGGAGAAGTGGAATAACAGAGGCATTGAAGTTGTGGCTTGGACAGTTAATACAGCCTCTGAGAAGTTATATTATGAACACATCCTGCACAGTAACTACATCACCGACAGCATGGTAGAAGACTGTGAGCCTCACTACTGACTTGACCATTGAAGGACACCTAGTTTGTTTTCTAGGGTGCTATTAAAGGGAATAATCTCTCACTTAATTTATGTTGTGCACATGTCCATAGTGAACCTTTTTGAGTCCTTCAAAGTGTATAAACTTTGAAACAAACTGGTAAAGTGCAGTAATTTTGTGGTGCCTGCAAGCACATGTGCAGGTGATTTGTGCCTTGAGAGGACCCTTTTCTAGAACTATGCCCTACCCCTTTTATTTAGATGCTACAGCCTTTAAAAGCCAAATAGTTTGTGGAATTTATAAGCTAAATGATAGGTGGTGGGGCTTAGCTGTAGCATGAGGGCAGAATTCAATTTCAGAGAGACACTATGGTCATTCATAAACCGCCTACCCTCACCGATTTTTATACCAGGCACTGAAATTAGCCTTCACTTTACCAGTGATGTTAGAAAGTATGATTTCATAGATATAAAGTGTCCATTAAAAAAAGTACACTGTATGTAAGGGTTTTTGGTTATAAAACCACACCATAGCATCCCTGTCATTAAGACAGCCTTTAATCTAACCAGGGGTGTACTGTGTAAATCTTGTTGATTCATGTGTTAGAAGTTTATTGACAGTGAGTGGATATGTTGATTTCCAATGTTAAATTATTGATCAATGGGAAAAATGTCATTTTGCTATAATGAATTTAGAGAAATGATGTAGGAAAAAATGTAATGGCTTAATTTTTTTTTATTGAAAGCTTTGGTGTACATGAGAATTAAAACGCTCTACCTACAACCTGCTTTTCCAGTCATACTCTTAAAAACACATCGGTAAAATTACATCAGATGCTGAAGGGTCATATTTCTCACCAACACAGTCTTTTGTATTTACAAGCTTGCTTGGAGCTGGATCCTTCAAAGTCAGTGTGCATACACTGGTACATGACCATGGAATATAAAGGGAGCCATGGAATATAAAGGGAGCCAAGGCAGAGAAACATTCACCATTTTACTCTATGACTTGGTGTTGGAGTATGTATGTCACTGTAGAGCTATCCCACTACCATGATGCTTAAAAAATGGTGGCTTTGGTGATTAAAAAAAAAAGTTCCTTCTGGTAATCACAACTGGTAATCAGCCAGTAACACACTTTCTGTCTTAGGGCAGATCCACTCTATGGAGAAGTAATGGAGCCACCCTTGGAGAGCAGCTTTGTCAACCTGCAGAGAGGGCATTGTTAGATGCATTAGCAAATTTAGATGGACTAGACCAATAAATTAAAGTGATAGTAAAACCTTTTTTTAAAAAAATAAAATAACAAACATGTCTATACTTACCTGCTCTCTGAGAGCCCCACACTCTCGTGCACATTGCTGGACTGGTTTGGACTTAAGTAAGAAAAAAAGGGGGGGGGGGGGGGGGGGTGAGCTGCAGCACAGAAGGTTTTTTCACCTTAATGCATAGAACACAGTAAGGTGAAAAACCTTAAGGCTTTAGAACCACTGTAAATCTTAATGCCAACAACACTTTTTAAGCTGTTGCAGAAACATTTTTTTCTTTTTGGATAAAGGTTTTACAAAAATGTATAAAAAGCCGACCAGTGAAATCACCATTGTCAGTGTTAAATGATTGTTCAACCTTTTAATTGCCAGCTTTGCTGGACAGCTTTGTCTTTTACATGAAGTTGAAAAATAACAGATACCTGTCCAGATCAACAAGTGGACAAAAAGGATAAAAAGCCTTAAAATATCAAATGAATGCAACCACCACATCTAAAGATTGGTAAGCTTTCAATTTAGTACATTTTTTGCTTTTTGGTTTAGATATGCTTTAAGTTTACCTCCTGAGCCAAGAAGACTGGCTATTGCCAAGTTCTTCCTTCCTATATAAACTACAGTCTCTCTGTACCTGTTGAGGACTTAGGTACCAGCCTAAATGATTGGAGCAGTGGTGGACATTAAGATGAAGAGACTGCCATCACAGAAGGGGTACAATCAAGCTGACCTTATTATCCCCCATCCAGTTAAAATTACATTATTTGTTTTTTCATAGAATTCCTTGATACAGCTCTGAGACATATCTATTTTCTGTGTCTCTGAAGCAGCCTTTATAATTTTCTCTACTATTTTTCAGACCAAAAGCTATGATTTGAGGATTAACTAGTCCCGCCTGAGTCTTTCACAAAGAAGGGTCTCTGGGATATCTCCTCCTGCACACTTCTTTAGCAGTCTGAGATAATTGGCTAGTTTAGAAAGTCACATGTTTGCATGGGAAGAGAGATCAGTGCAAGTGTTTCTTCTGAATCACTCAGTAGTGTATGTAATCTGATGTTTTCTGCTACTTGGGTCTAATCATAATTTGGCAGTTCATTACATTGGATTAAATCTAGAAAGTTGGTGCTTTCACCTATAGTTGAACACCAAGCTGATATGAAAGTACAGGGGTTGGACAAAATTTTGGAAATGCCAGGTAAAATGTAGTTGTTTCCTAATATGATGTTGGACCACTTTTGGCATCCAAGACAGCCTGAATTCTCCTGGGAACTGAAAAATAAAAGTCTTGGATTGTGGATAATAGAATCTGATACCACTCTTCGTGCAAAAATCTTTTCAGTTCTTGCAGAGATGCCAGAGGTGAGACACAAGCCCAAACCTTGTTCGCCCAAATTCACCATAGTAGCTCTATGCTATCGAGGTACAGTGACTACAGCGCCCAGGGAAGGTGTGAGAGTTCATCTGCATGCTTGTCAAACCGTGGTTTGACGACATCAGCTCTGTGAATCGGAGCATTATCATCTTGATAAATGGAGCTGTCTTTGGGAAACAATGTCTACACCATGAGGTGAACATGGTTGGACAAAATTTGTACATAGTCGCTGGTAGTGACTTTACCTTTCAAGGTGAGGATGGGGCCTGCACAATACCAATATATGGCTGCTGAAACCATGAGTGTGCCGCCACCATTCTTTACCTTTTGGCACAAGACAGTCCTAGTCATAAGCTTGGGACAGTGTTTACCACACATAAATATGTCTGGTGGTTGAGATCAGTGTGAGGCTTTATTCATCGGACCATATTACAGTCTTCCATTGATCGATAGTCCACAGTTTATTGGTGTTGTACCACGCTCTCATCTTCTAAGCATTAATATTGGTCACTCTTGGTGTGGCAATTGCAGCTTGCCTGTGAATGTTTTGCTTATGGCGTTCCCTCTGCACATGTTTTATGGACATGAGCTTTGGAAGACTGAGATTGAGCTTTGCAGTCACTTTTGCAGCAGTTGTTTTCTTATTTTAGGTCACAATTCAGCACAATGTCCTTTTCTCTTTTGGTCAGCTTACCATGTTGACAGCGCTTATGCTTATCAGACTACGTTTTCCTAGAAATTGTATATGCCATCATAACGTTTGATACTGTACCTCAAGACACGACAAATAAATTGGCAATTTCAGTCACCGAAGCACCAGCTAAGCAGGCACCAACAAGTTGCCCTCATTGAAACTCCGTAAGCTCTGACATGACTCTGTATTGCTAGCAGTGAATGCCTAAAATTAGGCTTCCCACCTGGTAGCTAGGTGTATCATCACACTGCGGGTGCAAAAGAATGTTACATCACTTCTGGTTTCAACAAGAAACATGTTTTCACTTTCACGCCTGCAAATCATATAGTGTTTTCATATTTTTTTCATTCCTGTACATGCTTTCCAAAAATGATGTTTCCATCTTTTTTAAATATGCAAATATTGTTATGTTGCTTCATGGCAACCTAAATCCAATTAGCTTTCAGACAGTTAGCTTTTGTCTACTAATATGAATCCATGTTTTGTTTTCTTCAAATACTAGCAGGAGAAAAAGTAAAACCATCTTTGAGCAGGAAGAAAGTATGGACATCAGTGCAGTTTGAAAGAGAAGACAATCTTCACACTGATTATTACCCCATAACAACTAGATCTATAACTTACATACTATTTCTATTCTTCACTTTTCATTAAAAAGCAGAACCTACTGTGAATTGTTAATTTTTCTGTTAACATAAAATGACAATGAATGTGTTTAGAATTTTGTGTACAGTATTTGTGTCATAAAAGCGTTACGTTTGTTTTGCTATTTTATTATTGACATCATGGAAGATACTATCCAGCCTTTACTAGAATTAACTTTTTGGTATTCTACAAAGTGATCTGGCTTGGTGCATGACCTGATGCTTAAAATGTTCACCTTTACAGAAAATCTGTAAAGGTGACAAAAAAAGCGGACCCCCCTCCCTGTACCGCTGTACTTGCCTCTCACAATCCTGAGCTTTTAGGGCTCCCGCAAGCTGCTTCACTGGTTTGGGAATTTGAAATCCCTGCTGCTTTCTCTTCTCTCCATACTGTGCTGACAGGACGGACTAGACAGTTTCTGATTGGTCAGCGCCATCCTTGTGACGGTGTGGAGCAATTAGAACCTGGTCTGTCTGAACTTAACTTTAAAGTAGAATTACAGCTAAAGCCTAACTAATCTTACAAATGCTCACCCAACCCTCTCCCAACCACCTGTACTAACAACTAAAATGTATATACTTTCCTATTTTCAGCCTGCTTTGGAACGGTCACGTGATCCCCTGTGTCATCCAGGGTGGCTGCAGGGAAATGGAGAGAGTTCTGTGACATAACTGGAGTAGGCTGAAAATATGGAAGTATATGCTTTTTTTTTTTACAGCTTAGTTAGTATAGGTGTTGGGAGGGGAAGGAGAGCATTTTTAAGTTTAGGCTTTAGCTGGAATTCTACCTTAAAAGAATTGTTCAATGGGTCACAGACCTGTTGTTGCTGAACTGTAAGATACTTAACTCCAAGGAAAAATAATTTTAGCTGTTTGTCAACCAAACTTTAAATCCCACGGCGTGTATGTCACCTCAATGACTGCTCTCGTTTTGTATCATTTATTAGATCACTGTTCATCAGGGGTCAAGTTTAAAAAGAGGAAGCAAACCCCTGCTATTCTACCATGTCCACCTCTATACAGACACACAGTGCAGAACAAAGGTTGGTTAAG